AAATGTTTAATAAATTAAATGAAATTGAGAAAAATAACCATACATATTACATATTTTAAAAGCAATGTACTTGAAATGCTATGACACCCATTGCGTATACGTAATTTGTTAAATTTAATTTAACAAAATTACATAATAATAATGCTACAAATAAATACAAAGGAAGATGCAAAAAATAGGATTAAGTGCAACAAATAAATCAAAATAAAAAGGAACTGAAGAAATTACTAAAACCGAACTCAGTCTGTTTTGCCACACATTGCGTATACGCAATATTTCGATGTTTAATAAACAAATAATCTAAAATGCAAGAACTAAAAATATCACATAATAAAAAGAGCCAAAAGAATATTTGTTTCAATAAAAGTGACTTAATTTTGCTCCGTTACACCTTGCGTATACGTAATATTTTGAAAATTACGTACAAAAATTATTTCAAATAGAAAAAGAAGCATATAATGTAAGCGTTTTGATTATTAAAATTTAACAAATTATTAAATACTAAAGTCAACTACATATTTGTGTTTAAGCTTGTAAAAACTTTCATAGTTTCCTTACAAATATTTGCTAATTTTCAAAGCTGTTTATTTGTTTTGTTTTCAGTTTTATTAAAACCATAATTCTGAATTATTATTCCCTTTAATTTTCTTCAAGTGCATTAATATTCCTGGGCTTTCCTTGTTTGCCAGTCTGTGGCCGAAATGCAATGAGCGACGAAGCGTCACGTGGTTGCCGCTACTCGAATCCTTGTGGCAAGTGGCAGCAAAATGGAGTTCAGTGCAACTAATGCCAAAGATAACTGCTTGGGGTCCAGTGTCGAATTACAAAACGCCTTTGCTGCCATAATGGAGACCAGGCTAAAGGGTAATTCGACTTATCCCCAACTATAGCATCATTTTTTCGTCCTTTTTTAGCCTTTTAGAGGGACGCAACAAGCGGACAATGCAAACAGCGTTGGACCCTAACAGGGTCGCGTTTTTTGGTCGCTTTTTGCACAGAGTAAGAGTTCATTGCAGTCGCCTTCCTTCTTTATGCTCCTTTATACCGGCAGTTTGTTAGCCATTTTTCATATTCATCCTTTTTTGAGCCGAGGAGAGCGAGCTCCTTTGTTGGCCGCCAGAGATAATGAAAAAGCCAAAAGGAACAGGCACCAGCCAGAGAAAGAGGAACATAGAGCCGAAAGTTTTTAATATAATTTGGAATTAGCTAGAGTGGCAGATGGCTCTTGTACGGAGCTCTCAGAGCTCTTCTGTGGCAGGGCCTTTGTTGCGTATACGCAACGTGGTACAAGCAAAAGAGACGAAGCGAAAGTTTGTGGCACTGGGAACACAGTTTGTCATGTGAAATTAAAAGTGCAGTGAAATAGGGAGCTTTGCGTTGCGCATAAATAACTAGGCAAGGACCCATTCATCCCAAGGAATATACTATATACCATATAGCTGGAAATATTCAGGCAGATCATGGACAGAAACACAATCTGTTCTTCATGCAAATCAAGCTCTCCAAGTTTTCCTTAACCATCGATATCCTCCTGACCGCACCTTATCTCCAGCTTTAGGGCAAAACTTCGCCGACTTATATTTCTTAAGCCGCATAACTTTGCATAAATATAAAGCTATTCCGCAGAAATTCGATGCCCTGGCAAAGCTCAAACAACTGCCGACGGCATAAAAACATTACCAACTGCCCTTCGACCTACCAGGAAAGGAAAAAAAAACTACCCTCTCGTAAAGTTGCCCCGATGTCAACGTCAAAAACAAGGACAACAACAAGGATATAAAACGGTAAAACTATTGTACGCACTTATATATGCATGGGTACGCGACGCGGCGTCCGGGAATCCAATTTTATTTATTATATTAATGACGGGCAGAGCAACAAACTGCCAAGGAAAGGCCTCAAACAAGGGGAAGCTATATTCAGACTTTACTGATACCCTTTAAAATGTTTCTGGTATTAAATTTGAAGTTTCCCACTATCCAAATATTATTTCTTCGAAACAAAAAGGCACTCTTCTATATGTTTTCAACTTAGTAATTCAATTCCTCATGCAAATTTTGCAACTTTAGCTTTATATTTTTGAAGCAAACTCTGGTTAGTTTTCCATTTTGAAACCACACACATGGCAAAACAAGAATAAGATTCGGATGCGTTTCAATTCCCAGAGACTCTATCTCTGTGCACAAGACAAACCTAAATTGAATATACACTTTTGGTTTCTCGTACATTTTGCAGAGGAGCATAAAACTATGCAGCGCCACTGACAGCGGCAACTTTCCCGATGACGGCAAAACTTTAACAGATTTGCATAAATTATACCCAAGCAAACAAAACGTAGCAAAAACAAGATGAAGGAGGAGCCACAGGCGGACCAAACTGAAGGAGGACCACTTTCGGCACTGAGAGATACATAAATGGTCTCTATTTTATACATATATTATTTATTTATAAGATGAAGGAATATATTCGTGATAAATCAAAATAATATCAGAAATATATATTCTTAAAAGTTAGAAATAAAAGAAATTCCTTAGGTTGCTTCAGAAACCTTTTTTAAAACACTTAAAAATTGTGTCTAAAGTTTCTATGCAAAACAATTTTGTTGTCTATATTTATTTATAAGAGGGTGAAACAATATATATTATAGAGGAATCATTTATATTAGAACCATATAATGTTATATTATTTATATTAAAAAGAATCAATCTAGAAAGCTATAAAAGGCTTCAGGGTTTTCTAAAACACTTAAAAAGGTGTCTTGAAAGAATGTAATGTAATGTTGCTGTCTCTAATTATTTATAAAAGAGAGAATTGTATATGAGTAACGAATTATTCGTATATCAAAAACATATATTACGATCAGTTACAATTTAAAGATCTATCTATCTAGAATACTTCAGAAATCTCCAAGGTTTTTAAAATACAGTAAGTAATGCACTTTATATAATGTTTTCGGGTTCCTAAGAACCATACTTTGTACTAACCAAACTTTTTGAACTATAGAAGAATTATAGAAGTCTTCTAGGGACATCATTTTATTTTATAACCTTCCACTACTACCCTACTCCATAACTTTTTCTCAAAGTGTGCATACACCGTAGCAGCTTAAGAAGGAGTCTTCCTGTGTGTTCTTCTATAACATCAACATGGAGAATGGGATTGAGTATGGGTTTTGGGCATGGGCTTCTTTCCACCAACACCATCGACTTCAGCCGTAGCTTTGGCTTCGGCATTGCCCCATAGTCATTCATTTAACTGTCAATGCCGTTGTTATGCCGTGGTTCGTTTTGTGGCTGAAAATGCGGACGAGGATGAGGACGAGGACAAGGACAAGGATGCGGATGTGGATGCGAATGCGGATGGTGAATGTTGGATGTCGGCGGCTGCTCGGCGTGAATTTATGAATTCATAGCGATCTTATGTGTAAGCACTACGTATAAATTTAATATATTTTTATGATTTTTTATGGGCACGCAACGATGTCGGCTTCCCAGGGATATATTTAATTTATGCGCCACAGTGCGCTTTTTTTTTTCTTTCTTCCTCCTTTTTTTGTGTTTTTGCTGATGCGATTTTCAGGGAGTTTGCGGCGACGACAACTTAACGATAAACTTTGACACAAACAATATTGTTCCGCCCTCATGTAAGTTTGCTGCTACAGTAAAGTGTTTTGTTTTTGCACACAGAAACACACATGACCCCGGCTGATATACTTCATTTTATCGGGACAGACGCGAGACGAGATTCGAGTGGCAGGGTGTACCATCGAATCCATCGATTCCATCGAATCCATCGAATCCATCGCCAAACGCTGAACGCTGGCAAATATGTTTGTCTGCCAGACCCCCGACGACTGCGGTTGACATGAGAGCTTTTTGGCCCGCGATGATGTCGTGTACCGCCTGTCTAGCTCCTCCTGCTGCTCCGCTAACCGATTGAGGGTTATTTGGTTCATTGGCCGCCAAGCTGACACTCCTGCCCCGAGGACTCAAAAACGGGATGCACGGGGAGAAAACAATAAGGCTTTAAGTTGGGTCATTGAGCAAGGTTTTGTGACAAAGGAGTTGTAAGTATTAAGTTGCATACACAGCTTATAAACCTGTTTTTAACATTATAAGTAAACTATTAATAAACGAACTCAATATTTTAAGTGTTATCACAATTATTTTGTCCTCAGGTTTGGAATTTTGAAAGCAGCACATTAAAATGCCAAATGCTTAAAAGCCCCTTTGGTATCCTATAAAGATCCGAATCGAAGGATCTCCAGGATCAAGAGTTATGAAGATACATTTAAGAAAATATAGTTCGAGTTTTATAGATCTATATAAATTCTTCCTATGGAAGATTTAAAGAACAAAGGAGTGATTCATCGTACAGAGACCAGACTTGTCTTTATAAGAAATCTAATCTATAATCTAGTCAAAAAACAGGCAAATGCTAACGTTTATTTGAAATTAGACCACGAATACTGTTGTACACAGCCATAATTATTAGCTTTTAATAATATGATGTTTGCGTTTATCAAAACCTGATAAGATTAAATCGAAAACCCAAATTTTATGAGCAAATATTGATAAGATAATATGAATTGATATATATACATATATGTATATGGGATAAATATGCAAAAAATTCTCTCAGTGTGGAACTCTCTGAGCGCCATCACATGTCGTAGGTCGTACAACAAACAGTTTTGTTGATGTTGTTGACGCTCGGTTATGGATTTATGGATTTATGACACTTTGGTCATTGCGGTTGTCAGTTTTCGTTAAAAGTTTTACTTTTGCCAGTGGCTTACGTGCGGTCTGCAGGGCAAAAGGATAGCGGGACAGCAGGACAGCAGGTCACATCCACCTCCTCCAGGACTAATCAGGCACCGAGGGCAGAGAGAGAGAGAGATTATGCCTGTCTAAAGGGCATGCCACCGATATATGTTGCTCCTGTCAAATTCGACACGCCCCGGTCGTAAATACCACAGGGTTTATTTTTTTCCTGCTTACCTTTTTATCCTTTATGCTCGCTGAACTGCAAATAGAGACAAGAGCAGAAAAAAACAAGTTCACATAATTAATGATCAGAACGTGACATCAACGCACAAAGCATATACAGGACATCATTTATCATAGGGGAAACATATATACATATATATGAGGGGAATTCCGCCATGAAGCGGAAACGCTGCTCTTCAGTTCGCATTAATAATGCAACAGCTGAAGTCCACATGTCAATAATACTAACCCAAAACCAATTATTCCCAGAAACAAACTATTAAATTACGTAATCAGCGTGAGGCGTTGGTGTTTCATTGGAGCAGAAAATGCAATTATATCAAAAATACATTTATGCACATATACTGTCGTTTTTTTTTTTTTTGCATTTCATAAATTTCACGCTACGATTTCCTCTATCGCGTTGCTCTTATTAATGCACAACCATGTCCATGAAAAAGGATCGAAAGGAAAGAGAAGAAATCAGTGCAAATTCAATGAACTCGAAATGCGAACAGGACAGACCAGACTGACGTGGTCCTGGGGATACCCATAACTGTATCTGTATCCTATATCTGTATCTGTAAATGTATCTGTAACTGTATCTGCAGCCTTAACCATATCTGTGAGCTGTGACTGTGTGACGTTATGGCTACTCAACCAGGACAACGTCCAGTCATACTCGTAATTCCCAGCCACTCAGCATTCAGCATTCACCATTCACATTCACATTCACATTCTCATTCACTCACACTCATGTGTGTGTGCAGAACGAAAATATTTACATAGTTGGCATAAAAACTGCATAAATGTGATTATATTTTCATTGGGTTTTATGCCTTCTACCGCATTTTCAGTCCCTGGTAATTCGATTGCAATTTCAATTAGCGTAAAGTGCAACAGTGCAGTATTACCAACACGTCCTCACCAGGACATTCGTTGCACATATGTCATGTGTCTGCCGAAAATTACGAAAAGGAAATCTCTTTTTGGGGAAGTGAAAGGGGGATTCAATTAATAGCAGGATGAAGCAGATGGAGCAGCATCGATCAACTGCCAGGAAATTGTTTGTCAGCCGAGGCAGAATCGGGTGTCAAGAGTCCTTGATGGAGGAGCGAGCAAAGCTCTCTTGGCTAATATCCAATAATTAAGCACTTCCGCTGGGGGAAATTGGATTTTAATTGAAATGCGAAGCAGTGTGAATTCGACACTCCACTTGTGATTTTCCCCATCCTCCAATCCTGAAACTTGTCCTCACAATGAAGTCTCTCTTTCTTTCTCTAATTGCCATTTAATTGACTGGCGGAAACTTTTCCGAGACATTTGTTTATAAACCGCACACAGGAAGGAGCCAAGGAAACCAGCCCAGCAGACAAAGGCGCAAATACAAGCACTTATAAGATCATTACAAATTGATGCTATCTCCAGGGTATATATATATATATATTCTATATACTTTTCCCTGCTTAGCAAGGCTTACGGCACTCGCTTCTTTCCACCGGATTGTCATCTCGGGGTGCCATCTCCTACGCTCTTGGCTCTTCAAATCCGGTATAGTAAATGTTATCTCTGCAAACATTTGACAATCAAAAATGCTCGGGCCATTGTTTAAAGAAAAAATCGAGCAGCAGCAGTAGCAAAAGCAGCACAGACCTGCAAACAATAGGCGAAATGGTCACCCCACCCACAACAACACACAGTGGTCTTTTAAAGATATATCAAGGCTGATAAAATTCCATTCCATTGAGCTGCTTAGTGCCATTTTTTTCAGAACAATTCAATCTGCTGGGAGAAAGAAAAGAATAACAACCAAAGTGGGTCATCTCTGCAGTGTGGTTTTATCCAAGTTATATCAAAGAAGGTTTAAAGATTTCTAAAACTAAAACAATTAACTAAAAGAAAGTACTTTCTACCCTCTTAAAAGTACTATATACACTTTTATGAACTTGTTTTCCCCCGCTCAACTTAAAACACACAAAGAACTGTTTAGGGTTTTAACAAATTCTATGGCTTGTCACATAATTGCCAAGAGGTAATTCGCTTTTGGGTTTTTATGGAGGGAAAACCCACTGTGCTTTCGTGTCACCAAAATGACGACAATGGGGAGGAGGGGAAGGGGACACTGTCTCGATGCCACCTCATCCCATTGGTGCTGCATCCTCCAAGTGGCAGGAACGGCAGTGGCAGTCGAGGTTAAGTTGACAAGAGAATGAGATTGCATTCTGCTGCTGCCCGAGTTCAATTCATTTCCACTTGAGCAAATGCACGTCGCCGTTGTCGTTGTCGTCTTCTAGACGTTTGCTACTCCTTACTATTTTTCCCATTTTTTTTTTTTTTTGGCCATAGCCAAAGGATATATGTGTGTGTAAGGATAGGATGCGGGGGCGTTGCCGTGGCACAAGTAGCTGCAAAATGTCGCCCCGGGGTATGTTGTCAATGTTTCGCCTTGAAAGAGCTCAGTACAGAGGAGGAGGAGCAAGGTTCGAAGGAGTAACACAGCCCCGTTTAGTTGTTTGTTTTAGATTTGGCCAGGATGGAGAATGGATCCTTTTGCTCTCATCACAGCGGCAGCTGATGCTGTTTTTCAACTCCCGCTGTTGCTGCTGCTGCTGCTGCTGCATCATCAAATTTCAGCTACATGTCCTGCGTCAAGTGGAGGATGTTCAAGGAGACTTGCTGACACTGTTGACATTTTACAGTAATGAAAATGATTATTGTCAAGGGTCGTCAGTGTGAGCCAAGAGTTTGGGCCAAGACTCACGCCCTCACGCGCACAGGATGTGGTCAGAGGTCTTAGCCTTGCGACACAAAATACAAAAGAAAGCTTAAAACAACACGAGTTTAGCTTACATTTTGTTAAAAATAAATACAATTTTTTAGCAAACTTCCATTTAAATACAATTCAATACGTAGGCCATTTTCCCAGGATTTTCCCGAAAAAGAGAAATGTCGGAAAATCCACTCACACTAATCAGAAAGTTACTCAGCCAGACACCTGCGATGGCGGCTGTCAGTTTCCGTTTGGAAAACGTTCCATCTTCGTTGCGCATCCGCTAGCTAGCAGCGATTCAGCTTCAGCTTCAGCTGGCACACACCAAGTCCTTGGATGACATCCTGGCTGAGTGGGAAAAGAGCTGGGAAAACAGCGGGGGGCGGAGGCGGAAAATCCGAGGCGCTGTCATTGGTCGTGCCAAAATCGCAAAAGGGCTAAAATTTAGGTTAATTGATAATTGATAAGAGCACTGTGCGAGGGAAGGCGGGTGGGTTTCTGTGTGTGTCATTTAACTCGACTTCAACTCGGGGCCCATGAATATTTAAAAAGGATTTTCCTGTGTGTCGTCATTCACTCAAGTGGGGCAATGAAAATTAGCCAAGCACTGCAAATAGTTTGAAGAGCCGGAAAGTCCCTTCTCCACCGCAACGAATCGAAATCGAAATGCAGGTTTAGGGTTAACCCACAAAACGAGGTCACAGCAGCATTTGACCCATAAACGAGGGCTCCCCCTTAAGGCTAATGAACACGCAGGCGGCGAGGGGATACAGGAAATACATTTTAAGCGAGGGCAAAGGGCATAGGCACAGGCACAGGCAGCAGCATCAGGAAAGCCCAATATCACACAAATCATTTATAATGCACACGACAACGGACTGACAATGAGTTGTAAATTAATTGACGTAACTATTTAAGCCAGACACAGACACTCTCAACAAGGACACCCCACAAGGAATCGAACTCAAGCCGAGTCGAGCAGAGCTGAGCAATTCCGCAAATTGAATGCCATTATCCATCATCTTGCAAATGCCTCAAGTCGAAATACATTGCGGAAATGTCTGAGGCACACACACAGACAGGACACCCAGGACACTCCTCTTCCTCCTCCACCACACACACACACAACAATGTGTGGTCTAACGCAAAGGGAAAGCTGATCTCGATGTGCTCAAATATTTCTGGTTAAAATGAGCAGACATTGGATAATATTTGTATTAAAGGTGGCTACGAATTTAAGTTTATCTTAAAGATAAGAAAGTAAGATTTAAATTCTTAGAAAAGAATTTTTTGAGAGATATTTTGAACTTAAATTGTATAAACAAAGTTAAGAAAACTAAGCAGGCTTAACATATTACTTGTTTAATAAGGAAAATAAGGAACAAAAATATTTAAAAATAATTACCAATAGATTTAGGTTAGTTATAAATACCTCTATAAATCCCAGCTCAAAAATACCCAAGAGTTCCTCTTCAAAACAAAGAATATTCCTTTGCAATTGTCACTATTTTCGATTGAGTTAGTTCCCCCATACATATCCTTGAAAGGATATCATTGGATATACCAATCAAACTCCTGGTCTCGTAACACAGAAACTGCATTAGAATGCAGCCTGCAACCCCTTAGTCTCAATGACAAACCAACTCCAACTCAACTCACGTGTCTCTGTGTGTGTGTGCCAGGGAATGTGTCAACAAAAGGGCCAAAAGCGAGTTGGCTTTTAAAACAATCAAGTGACGACATGGAAAATTAGTTTACGCAACTCGATTGCCAAGTGCCAGAGAGAGAGAGGAGGAGGAGGAGGAGCTACTACCCTGGCCAATAAAGCAAATGCCGCCAAGAAGAAGCTGTGCTAAGTCAACTCTCGATGCAAGTCAATCAGGCGGAAGCCGGGGAAGAGTGGCTAAAATGTCACTAAAACTTTGCCAGCTCACGTGTGCGGGTGATGAGGAGGAGTGAATGGAGGTGAAGGAGGAGCTGGAGCTGCAGCTGGAGCTGAAGGATGAGGAGTTTGAGAAAGAGTCACTGGTGTAAAGGAGTCCTGGGAGCAAGGACAGTGCCAAGAAAGTGGCAACTTTTGACGGGCCAGCTGCTTCAATTGTTGGCACTAAGTTGCTGCTCCTGTTGTTGCTGCTGCTACTCCTACCGCCTTAGCCGCTCAAGTGGATTTGCTTGCTTTATACTTTCGCAGCTCGATTTTCTTGCTCTTTTTTTAAATTTAGTTTTTGTTGGTACTTCACCCCCCTCTCCGTGCTTCGTGGAAAATT